CGTGAAAATTTTCTCTCTTTACATATGGATAGCTTAAATAGTACTCTATAATTTAATAAAGTTTCATCATTCGTCAGTTAATATAATAATAATGCATAAGGAAATCATTTGCTTTTGATTGGAGATGAAAGTAAACAGATGGTACTCATCCATATTCCTACTCTTATCAGCACCGACATCCTCTTCTCTTTGCCCTTACTTACAGTCGAAAGCAAAAAATTTTTCTTATGCATTTAAAACGAAGATGAACATTTTAATATTATTATATCAGCTGAAGAATGGTGAAATCTCATAGAATTATAGAGTACTATTTGAAGTATCCGTATATAAAGAAAGAAAACTTCCACGAACTTTGTATAAGATATTATAGTATCAGTACTATTACTTTTAATTATACTCTAAGTAATTTGTTTGTTAATATAATCAATAAATTTCTTTTTTTTTTTTTTCAATAAATAGTTATCAAACATGTTCATGTCCAAGTGGTGAACGATTCATTGCAGGTGGTTGTCAAGCGAGTAAGTACAAAAATTTAAATTTCTTTTTTTGAAATACAAAAAACAAACTTTCATTTTATCTTAGAAAATGAACAATGTGCACCCGGTCGTATTCTATGTCAAAATCGTTTAAATTGTGCTGAATCAGCTCGTATGTGTGAACAAGATCATACACAATATACTGAAGCATTTAAAACTACAGCACGTTGTACACTTGATAAACCTAATGATGGTTTTGATTGTTATTATACTGGTACTGAATTAAGTAATGCAAATCATACATGTATTCCATTTGAATGGCTTTGTGATGGTTTTTATGATTGTCCATTGGGTAATGATGAAGAACATTGTCATAAAATAACAACAACAACAAGAACACTAACAAGAGATCCAAGTCGATGTTTAACTGAAAAACGATGTAAGTTAAGAAAAAATAAATTTTGTTGTGTTTTTTTTTATATTGTCATATTTATGTTTAGTTACTCATATTATGTGTGGTGATAAATGTATGAAAATAAAGGATATTTGTCGAAATGTTTCCAATGCAGTATTATGTTCGGATCAATTTCATCTTAATTGTAAACAAACACATGATAAAAATCAAGTAATTATTAAATAGATAAAATTTAGAATACAAAAAAGAAAAATGAACTAATATTTAAAATTTATTTTTAGTATGTTTGTAAATGTCGTAATAATAAAAATCAATGTATTACAATGATTGAAAATTGTGATGATTTTGAACGTTGTGAACAAATTTGTCAAGAATCAATTCATTATGGTATATGAGAAATTTTCTATAATTAAATAAAAATAATATTTAATATTTTTATTATAGCTACTTCGAAATCGAATACACTTGATGCAGTATCATCAAAAATCTGGATAATACTTGCTATTGTCATTTTTATTATTCTTCTTATTGCTATTATTTTTATGACTCTTCGTTATATGCGTGGAAAAAATGCAAAAAAAGCTCCAGCACAATCACGTATGTTAAAAGGACAAAATAATTAAGTATAATTTTTTTTTCTTTATTTGTTTATCATTTGACTTTAGGTACTCCAGCGGCACCAACAATAATAACAACTAATTCTTCACCGAGTGATGCTCAACAACAACTACTCAATCAAGGTACTAATACAGCCAATGAAACAAGTTAAACTATTCTCTTCTTATTTCCGTTTAATATATATAATTAGCTTTGAATTTTCATTTCTTTGTCCACTTACATTTAAGTCTTTTCCTCATTCAATGTATGTTGTCCATCTGTCTTAAACCGGTGCAGCGCATCAGTCATTTGTCTTTCTCTCTTTCTCTTTCTTTTTTTTTTTTTGTATTTCCATATGTGTTAAAGCACTGTGCAACAATTTTGAAGGTTATGATCATGAAATTTCTTTATCTTCTTTGGTATATATATGTGTGTGTGTGTGGGTTTTTTTGTTTGTCTATTAGGTAAAGAAACAAAAAAAAAACAAGTAAGCAGAAATAGAAATATTATTAAATTTAATCCTATTATTATGAAAACATCGATATAATAATTCATCATTTATATATATATATATATGCTTTTTTTTTTGTTTCTTTCTTTTAACCTATGAAACACAAAAGAAAAAAAATTTAAGTAGTACACAGATCTGCAGTTTTGTCTTCATGATACTTCGTAACAGGTATAGAAATAAAAAGCACGAACAAAATAAAAAAAAAAAGAAAAAGAAAACGGACGTGAAAAGAAAAAACGAAGTGACACAAATAGAAATCGAAATTTGTTTTTTTTTTTTGTTTTTTTGTAGGTTTTTTTTCTCGTTGTTTTTAACAGAAAAACATATAGCATGCACAAGCGCAAGAGTAGATATACTTTTAAATAAGTAAAAAAACAAAAATATATATGAATCATTGCGCCATTTTCTCTTGGCTTTATCGTCTCGCAACTTCTATTTCGAAAGAATAGTTATGTACAAGAAAAAAACAACAAAGAAACAAAAAAAAACGACAGAGACATCAAGAAACTGAATAATCAAAAAAAAAAACCGAATAAGAATTTAAAATATATGTTGGAACATTTGTTATTTTTATTTTTACTTTTTTTGTTTAAATTTTAGTCACTTTCACTTATTTCACCTTCTTCACCTTCATCATCTTGAGAATTAGTTGGTTTTGTTTCATTCGAATAATTTTTTGATAATGATTGTTTATCATGTGAAGATGATAAATCTTCATCATTATCACCAGTATTAGATATTTCATTTAATTGAGCTAATAATTTATCGCGTGTTAAAAATAATTGATCCATATCTTGATTATCTATGAACAAAGAAGAAGAAGAAGAAAATGAAAGATTTGTTAATAGGAATAGATTCATTTGAAATAAATTTTAATGTAAAGATTAATGTTTATCTATTTAAGAGTACAACCGATCGGACTCAAATTTTTACTATAGATAGGTTATCGAGAATGATGAGAGTCATATTCAAACAAAAAAATTTCAAAAGTAGATTTTCAAAAATTATCAGGTCTCATTTTTACTTTTTTTTTGGTCGGACTGAAATTATTGTTGAAGGTACCTGAAAGTTACGAAGGAATTCTTTCAAAGACTACCCTCGTGAGACTTTGTTTCAAGTACCTACAGAAAAAATTTCAGTCCGATCGAATAAAGAAAGACTGAGGTCATGAGCAGACTCGATAATTTTTGGAAATCTGCTTCTAAAATTTTTTCTTCGAACATTAGTTCCATCATTTTTGATAATCTAGCTGTAGTAAAAATTTGAGCCCGTTCAGTTGTACTCTCGTACAGAACTAAAAGTGATACAAAAGAGAAGGGATAATAGTCTCAAGGACCACTTCCTCAGCAAAAGTCAATTTTGTGATTTATATCTTGTTAGATAGAGCAAAGTGTCTACTTTCGAATGCACTATAGTTTTTTTTATTTTATGATGAAGTTTAAGATTACCTAGGTTTTTCTGAATCCTCACATAGTAGAAAATAGCATTGTTTTTTTGCTTAAGTCTTTCAAGTTTCTCTGTTGACTTTTGGCATTGATGAACATTACTGTCATGCATGACTAAGTATAATAAGTGAATACAACACCCAAGCATGGAATGAAATTACTAAACA